CTTGTCAAGATCTTCAAGGATCTTTTATTTTCTTGCCAAGATCCTTGAGGATCTTGTACAGATCTTTAAAGATCTTGACAAGATTTTTGAAGATTCTTTAAAAATATTTGAAAATTCTTTGAGGATCTTCCAAATTCTTGTTACTATAGATCTTTGAGGATCTTTATTTTCTTGCAAGGATCTTCAAGGATCTTTTACTTTCCTGCCAAGATCCTGAACAATCTTGTCATCAATCTTCAGAGATCTTGTTGAAAATTTTGAAGATTCCTAAAGATATTGGCTAGAAATTGAAAGATCTTTGAAGATCTTGGCAACAAAAAGAAAGATCCTTGAAGATTTTGACATGCAAATTAAAGATCTTGGCAAGAGATTTGAAGATCCTTAAAGATCTTGACAAGAATGTCAATGATCCTTGAAGATCCTGGCAAGGAAATGGAAGATCGTTGAAGATCTTGGCAAGAATGTTATAGAACCTTCAAAATTTTGACAACAAAATAAGCATACTTAATGATAGCTATCAGGTTTATAGAGTGAAGCATGAACTTAACCACCAAAGATGTTAACTATTGAAGAATGGATCTAGAGGTCTGATTAATGCTCATGCACTTGGTGTAAACAACAATGTGACAATGGGTTAAATGGCTTCTAGTGATATTTACCTTTCTTCTTAACTGACCGATATAATTACTCTGGTTTTATTTTACAACACTCAAATTTCTCTTTTCTCCTATACAAAGGTTCATTGCTTTTGTCTGTATAACATTTTGTTATGATAAAAAAACAAACAGGTTTTTTCTTTTATTTAAGATGTAAGATAAGAACTGCAAAGAACAAAAGTGGACAGTCTTTGCTCAATTGTTTCAATAAAGTTGATATAGCTCTGCAAGTTTTGAAGACCATCCATAGACTGAAGTAGAGCAACACCAACACAGACAAATTAGACTTTAAAACATCAGTGTATCTTTGTTTAGAATGCATGATGTTCTTAATGATAGTTTTAAGTAGACCCTGGCTAGTGGAAACAAAATAGCAGTAATTTTATTTACATGTATACAGGTAGTTCCCAATGATATTTGAGGCGGCTTTTCTTCACTCTAGGAAATAGGTGAAATGACAATAACTGTGGAAAACACTATGTGGAGAGGAGAGCCTTGTTATCTTGTTCATGCTAACAGTCATGGGTCTATAGACCAAGTACCTATTGGGACATCAGTAACAGGTTAGCTATTAATCACGTGTTGGACCTTTGAACACTAAGAGTGACTAGCATCTAATTGCTCCTTACAATTTCACCCTCAAATCATACATTAAGGTCACAGGAATGAAGGTAATAATCACCAATGAAAGAAGTTCTTGATTGTTAAACAAATTCTCCTTATCAGCACCTTAGGAAATATAGAGAACAGTATGGAGAATATGCATACTGATGTTAGGGTGGGAAGGGTTAATGGATGGTTGAAAAGGTGATCTCCATGTTCATGTGATATTTACTTTTGTACTGACTCTACAATGTATGGAAACAATTCTATTACATCACTGTAACTGTTTTGTTTTTGTTACAGCTTATGTCGGAAGATCTCTTCAGACATTTGAACAAACCCATTATGAATATGTCAAGGTAAGGACTTCACAAAACTGTGTTGATTATTATTACACAGATGAATTTCTGATAAACATATGAGGCAAATTTAGTGTACAACGGAGTTTTCACTTGGAGATTTTAAACCCATGTGGATAAGTGGTTTATTTAAAAATAACTACCCCTTTTTCTGCAATGACTGCAAAATGCTTCCTTGTCTTGAATTATATTTTGAACAGAGATTCTTATCATATGGGAAGTACAGTTAAAAAATTGGGGAATATTTTGATCCGACATCTTGGTAATAATAAAATTTGCTTAAATATAAGGAGAGCAAATTAAAGAGCAGTTTGTCAATATGCATCAGTCACTTCACACTGCTGAGGAGAGATTGATCAAGAAACTGTTGATCAAATGTAGAGTACTTTTCAGGAGACTTTGATATGTTTGTAGATACCGGATAACCCTCTGGATAAAAAGACTCTTATTGTACTGGATGAGGATGGAACATACTCTGTGAAGAAGACTGAATCACAAGGAGATGTAAGTCATCTTCTGAAGTATGACAATAAATAGATAAATGAATAGGTGAAGTAAGATAAAAGGAAAAAAAAAGGACATCTCAATCCAAGGTCAGAGAGTCAAAGGAGGATAGAGGGAGAAATTTTTAGTTCTCCACTGTAAGTGGGGTGGAATAAGTCCAAAATTCAAAAGTAGATCAGTTGTGTGTTGGTTACCCTCCTTTTCACTGTGTTTGGCATGCTAGCCTGTTACTCAAAGTTTGTGGGGCATCTTAAGCTATTTCTCCTTGTTCACTATGGCCTTTTTTGACAACTTTGGATTTGCTTGTATGACACTTGATCAAAATACATCTAGCATTTTAAAGTTCTTGGTACATGCAACTGATACACCATAGACCTCAAGAGAGGCTCTGAAGAATCTAGAAATTGAGTTTGTGGCCTTATGAAATTTTTCTTTTTGCAGTTGAGTTTTGTAAAAACATACTTGGGTCAATTCACACATCTTACTTTCTTAAAGACAAATTATTCAATCCGTGCTGAAAAATTTTTTTACCTGTGTTTTCTGGCTTGCTTTGATAATTTTCATTTCTTGTAGGAAATGCAGAGAACTGACAAATATTTCAAAAAAGAATTATTCCAGGGTTTTATATCTGAAGGTTAGTTTCTATATTCATATGGTGTTTTCATTCATTCCTGTGTTTGTTTCCTCTTTCATTCATGTGACCATTGTCTCTTGACATGCATTATTTACTTATCTGTATTTTTTGCAGGTTCTAATCTGTTGCTACAGAGAATCATGGTAAAAAGAGGAGTTCCCGAGGACATGACATTTGTTGCATTTGACTCAACAACTAGTCTGTGTACTTCATCTTATGTACGTATCTGCATCACATTGAGTTTTTGTATTGTTGTGTTTTTGTTTCGGGAGAAGAAATTTAGCATCTTGCTTTACTCCCTCACAGAAAATGCTTGGCAAGTCAGAGAGGAGAATTGGTTTGCAACAAGTTCATGCGGTGGGACTGAATCGTACGATTCATTCAGTTGAGGAGTCGCCTACCACTTGGGAATCGTACTTCTTGTCGACAGGGTGAGTTTTAGTGTAACATTTTTCTTTGTTTTAATCAGATTTGTGGAGGCATAGCTTAGTGGTTTAAGGTGCTGAGTGTGAAATCTTAAGCTTCCAGGTTCAATTCCCTTATTCTGACCGGAAATTCAATTTGTTTCTCAGTAGTCTCGTGTTCAGCTTCTCCACTGTGTTTTGTTATCAGCCAACTAGGTTGATTTGCCTCCACTAATTTACATTTTCGATCAATTTTTCTCCCATAACTCCAAAAGGCCAGATGTATCTTAGACTCAAAGACACTTTTGGAATACAATGAAGACTGTGAAACTCATGAAATTTAAGTTGACTGAAAGTTTTTAAAGGCGAGTGTGTTTAGAGAACTCTTTCTTGTAGGCATCTCGCAAGTCGAACACAGCTGGGTTCTGGGGTGACCATGACCTTGTCAAGAATTCCAGAGGAACATCAGATTACAAGTGAGTATTAGATTATTCAAGATTATTCGTCTCGTTATTCCAAGTTGTGACTAGCTATTTCGAGTATTTTGTTTGCTTTTTTTTTTCAGAATTTTGTATTTTTTACAAAGAGAGATGGCGTCAAGAAGTTGTTAAACTGGAAATAACCCCTGAGATCTATTGCGATCGCTGTTTACAGATTATTTAGTCGTAATATTTTTGCAAATTTTTTTAGATACAGACTTATCAGAAGAGACAACAGAAGTTAAACCACTCAAATGGGAAGAAGATATGCAACTATTTTCGCGTTTTTTAGACCGAAAGGTAGGGGTAACTATTTTAGTCCGTTTGTATGTAACTAAGTTGTGGTGAGAGCGTAAACGACTTACGACATATTAAGGAGACACACAGTGTTAGCTTTGCTAAGTTTTGACTCTTTGACTCTCAATATCTCATAATTAATTCTGCATTTTGTGTGCTGCATATTTCTTATAAAATTAGGTCCGAGAACATTTTTGCAGAATCATAATGTACATCTGTAAAAACAGGCTTCAGGACTGTTAGAACTGATTTTTACACCTCTCGTGTGTTTTCAGGCGGAGTTGGCTGACGATCACGCAACCTACATGAGAAGGCATCCAGAGCTGCGGGCTCTCCTTGCCGACTTTCTGCAATTCTTACTGCTTCGAAAACCTGATGACGTCACCGGCTTCGCCTCTGAGTTTTTTGGCGCGTTTTCTACAGCCGCGCCCTCTGTACCTTCATTCGCTCGCTCTTCTCCAGGTCCTGCGCGACCTTCCTCTATGCCTTGAGGACTTTGAGATACTTGGCCTCATGCAGTCCTTCCTCACATCCCCTTCAGACAAGCAGCTTCAGTCAATATTGTACATGATACGAAAAGAGAATTCATATAGTTTAAGTTACAATGTTTTCCTTACCTCATGAAATTTTTGTTAGTGTGTTCTCGGTGGTGATTTTAGCAGTTGATCAGCTCAAATATGGGTGAGAAGCGTTAAGTAGTCATTTGTCTCTAATTAAAGGATTCATGGCTCACCAAGTTAGTTTCTTCTTGTTTATTTCGAAAGATAAACCTTTTCAAAAGACGGTGGCTGAACAATGTACCCTTTGAGCTTAAAGCTTGCCACATTGTACTTTCCCTTACAGTAGTGTTCCGTAACTCATTTTTGTTCTTCATTTCATGCCTCCACTCAATATGTGGAAAATAAGAAAAAAGGGCGTGAGGGCATCCTCTGCGTACTAAGCCCCCATCCAGTCCTCAGCGATTTCCTTTGAAAACGCGCACTTTTTGATACATGATAAAGTGGCGGCAAATACTATTGCTTAATTTCCACCGGAGATTCGTGAACTTGGGAAAAAGTGAAAGAAATGTTAACAGAACTCAATCGTAACATATTTGGTAACGATAACTGTCTCAGAGGCAGTTGTTGCTCATCCCCAGGGACAATCGTACTCACGAACCGTTTCTTTTGATCACATGTACAAAAGAAGAGAAGAGTCTGGGACGGTGTCTTGTGATGTGGCATCCTTGATGTACAAAAGATCTGTGAGCACAAAATCTAGGAGCTCCCATAAGCTCTAAGAAAAGTACCCTCGCTGACTACATGTGTGAAACGTTGAATCATCACATGATTCCTATCTGCTTGCCAAGTGCATAATGCGCGGAGATTTAATTTAAGGTCCTTTCATTGTTTCAAATCAGGCTGGAAAACAAAATCTTTTGAAGAAATTGTATTGAAATAAACTAAACACTAGTCTCGATTTGAGGATTGTGCTTTCTCGCCAGTAAAAAGCGTATGGACTTTCTGTAAGATGGCAGTCTCCACGCGAAAATGAATGCATCGGCAGCAGCCTTTACGAAAAGAAATAGATCAGTTATTCTTAACAAAATATTCAAAATGACTTCCTCTTTCTGGTTCCGGTATTGTTTGTACAAGAAAACGTAAAATACACCAATGTGTGGAAATGCCGAAAAGAGCAATATTGCAGCGAGGTAAAACGTCATCAGAACAAAATTTCTGTCGTAATTGCGGCTGCGAGTTTGTAGAAGTCTTTTTCCGCTAGTTTTTTGCGGAGATGCGGTATTGCTGTGAAGATGAAATAATAAACTGGTCGTTCGAGTGATTTTGTGAACCTGCAAGTGTCCTTTAAAAGCCCTATATATTAAAATCTGAAGAACGGCGAGTATCGCTGAGATAACTGTGGAATGCAGTGTCAAATTCAGTTTGAAAAACAAGATTTGATCCATACCTAAAACAGGTAAGAGGCTGAATACGGTGAAGTACAACCATGTTGCCATAACGGATGAGAGTACAAATCTCTTTCTGATCCAAATCTTGTATTTGTAAGGATATTCTATGGCAATAAACTGTACAAAGGACAGCATCAGTACCATCACGAAGGAAGCATTCAGCGAGGCTGTCGAAATGATTGAGCTGATCACAAAAAGCGTCTGTGAAATGACTTGAAATTTATCGCCGGCTGTGAAGTAGCGCACAAAAAAGTATAAGGCGAAAAAAGGCTCAACCAGCAAGCCACACAAAAGGTCTGCTATCGAAAGACCAAGGACAAAATAACTTGTCGGTTTCTTGAAATAGTTAAGAGGATCTTTGATAATTGTGGTGATTAACAAAATGTTTGTGGCCACTGTTATGGGACTCAGAAATGCAAGCGTGCATGCAGAAGCCAACTCAATCCGGGAGTATGCCCCATTTTGGATAGAAGAGGAACTCCAGTTTGTACTCAGGTTTGAAGACTGTTCACTCATTGTAAACACACACAGACTTGTCTTCGCGTTAGGTACTCTAAGCATCCAGTGTCTCGTGGCGCGGATGAGTGTTATAATTATTTTGTGAAACTCCTGTTTTTGCTCCTTTTTTTTCAATTCAGCGATTGTGAACTTGTTTTTTACGCCGCGTGGTGAAACAAGTTGGATAGTTCATCAAACTGATTGTTTTAATCATCCGGTTTCGTGTACGTTCCCACAACACTTCAATCCCAAGCTGATGAAAAACCAACAATCTATTACCGCCGTATGTTAATCATCTCTTTGCTTGCAATATAGATTAATGTTGGACCAGCTTTTTAAGGGAAATTGCAAAATGCGTTCCCGAAAAAAATTCAGATGCTGAAGAGCGAATTCATAAATTTACTCACAGCGAGAAAACCAAAAATATGGTCTCACGTCTAGCCACTAATTCAAACATCGTTTACCTTGTAACAAGTTTTTGTGCAAATAAAACGAGAAAGACAAGGAAAACGAATAAACGAATATTTTATTTCCAACCCAATTACACCTACCTCAGAGCAAGTCAATTACATTAATTCTCGGGTTTTTTCTTGATGAATTCTTTTTGATCGTTCTCCCGAGGCAAACCAAGTTTATTATCAATAAGACAACTTCAACCAAAACGGGGAAAAATCTGGCCTAGTACCATTATTTTACAGCCACAGGCCATCAGTAGCTTTTCAAGTTATTGATCTTATTCCCGGAGCGCATTTGAAATATATTGGATTTTCTGCTTCTTAATAGAGCAATCGTAGACTTCGAATTAACAAAGAAAAGGTGAAAAAGTGAATTAATGAGCTCTAAAGTGTGACAATAGATTCTTATTTCGATTCCTTTTTTCAAGGAATACACACAGCTGAATCAAAATTACAGGTTACTGAACGATGGAAATTATTAAACGAAAGAGAAGTAAAAGACACTTTATTAGAAACATTAGCTTCCTTTTAGCGAATCGTTTTAAATTTTTACAATCATGTCTGCTGAGATTAGGTGAATCGAAAAGTTGTCCAATTTCGTTCGTAAAGTTATAATTCCCAACGCAAATAATTATAATAACAAAGGCCTTTTGTTTTAACTTAATAACAAGGGGAGCAAAAGAGGTTGGAATGCCGGTACAAAAAGAGATTTTAAAAAATTACGTTGTAATTGAGTATATTTTTTTCTGTCGGGAAATCACCCTGGACGGAAGAATATTACAATGGTTTTTCGTCAAGTATTTGTTTTGTCTAAAAGTTTTTGTTTCTTTAAATTGAAGGGGAAGGTAATTGTCACAGGGCGTTAACATGAAACCGGACAAAATTTTCAGCAGGAACCTGCTAACGTTTTAATCAGTGTTTGTCTCCTTTCAATTTTTAAAATTGAAATCGAAAGATGATGGCAGATGCAGCTGCAGTTTGGCATTTTTTTTGAAAGCTTTGTTTTTCGAAAGTAATCAGTCGATGCGTTTCGTTGCATCACGGTTGGAGGGTTTTTTCTGTAACCAAACTGCATATTGTGCCGGAAGGTTTTCCCAATTTTTCATCGCTTACCTCTAGCTAATAAACGACTGCTCATTTCCATTACAATTATGCATGAAAAAACTAAAGTAACATGGAAGATCAAAACATTATTTCCAAGCCCGAAAAACCAGTGATTTTTTAACAGTTTATACAACAACTGTTCTGAACAAATTTTGCCGCCAGAGACCAAAGACCTTTTGCTCTCTTAGTTGTTACTTAACGTCCAGTGAGGAATTTTGTTTAATAGAGACGACTTTCTTTTCCATCACAAGCCGAGACGAAATCAAAAAGGAATCTTGAATAAGATTTCAAACTGCTCCGTTAGCATTATCAGTCTGATGGTCAACCGCTGACCTGTACTGTTCTGGTGACGATTCCGTAACGGAAACTCCTGTCAAAAATTCGTCGTATCGAAGCCCTTCCCCACCCTTCCGCCCCTCGCTATTAAATAGGTCTCAAACCGTAGGCCAGAACCATTTTGGTCGTCGGTTGTAACCACCAGAGGACTGTGTCAAGTGTAGCTTACTCGTAGCCGTACCCTCCCCCCTATGGTGGTACGTTTCACCTTAAAGGGGGAAGGGTGCGGCTACACGTAGACTATGTCAACCAAGGATTGTATTTCCTATTTTCGCCTGTACTATTGATATCCAAAAAATTTTTCGAGAAAATTGTTCGTTACTTTATGAGCTGAGCACAAAATAAATTTGCGTTAATGACTGTGGGGAATCCAACCTCACAACAACACTTAATTTTGTCTTGCTCTGCAAGCTGAGCAGAAAACATACTTGGGTCAACCTCCCAAAGGTTTCACAACTCCAGATCTCGCAATTTTGCCATCAAATACTCAAACAGCTGAGCGAAAAAACTTGTTTAGATCGACCTTCTTGAGAATTCAGATCTTAGACTTTGCACTTTCGGTGTGAAGTACTCTGCCAGCTGAGCAGAGAGAAGTTTTCTTAATCGACTTACGCGAGGATTCCAACTTAAGATCATGTCCGACTTAAAAGCCATATGCCTTACCAGCTGACAGCTACACAGACACTCCCTGTTAATGTCCTTGTTCCATAACAAAGGGGAGAACAAGACACGAAAACGGTTATCATAATAGTAAAATGTTTATTTGAATCCCCAACCAACTTCTAACGAAAGAATTCAAGAGAATTCAATCGTAAAAAAAGCTACATTCTTTCATCCTACTATTGACTGTTCCTTCATCTTAAATGCTTCTTTTCAGTGTGAATGGAGAGTTTGGGTAAAATCAGTTCTTCACCTTAGGAACCAGTATCACGGGCACGTGCGCATGATGTATGATGTAGTCACTGACACTTCCTAATATGGTGCGACGGATTGTGCCCATTCCTCGGCTGCCAACCACTATAAAGGCAGCACCTTCCTTTTGAGCAGTTTTACAAACATGGCCTCCCGGATGTCCGCTTTGGATGATGATTTTGGCAGAAACCTAGAGGATATAAAATCAATATAACCATGGTATGAGGTGTTTTAACCTAAAAATTTTGGCAAAGTATAGCTTTTTACTGCAATTGTTTTTTAGAAATAATAAGCTTTTTGCATTTCTTAAAATAATCAACGGACGACATGTGACCAGGAAAATATCCGGGAAAACACGTAACCCAGGGTCTAACACTCTAGAACGTATAACTACTGAAAAGCGCAAGAAAACTTTAGTCAAGGAAAAGGGAAGGAAAACACCCGGTCAGTGCCTAGCACGGCTTAGCACGGGAAACATATAACTTGTTGACAGGCGGAGGAAGACTCGTAACTAATAAAAAGCGCGGGAAAATGGGTGAAGAAATTCCATCTTTTGACTCGTAATCACTGACAAGCGTTGAATAACGTGCAGCCAGTGAAGAGCACAGAAGACTGGTGAACGATAAAAGCGCTGGAAAACTATTAACTAGATACAAACACAACACGTTACCAGCTTTAAGCGCGAGAAACTCTTGGCCATTACTAGTGTCTAGAGAGTTAAAAAACGCAATCATACGCGGACTGATTCCTCCATACGGGATGTTTCCTCGAAACGAAATATCCCTCTTGTATCAGTCCACAGGAAATATTCGGTTAATTTTTAGCGGCTTTGCTACTGATGATAGGGCGCTTATGCATATACTTTTTTTGATACACGTGTGGAGGCAGCAAGTCAATTGAAGAAATGTAAAATGGTTTCCGTGTTTACATAGCCTGATGTAAACACGCGGGAGGTTGGGAGAACACGAGATAAGCGTAGGAAACCACGACGCGAAGCGGATTGGTTTCCAGCTTATCGAGTGTTCTCCAACCTCCCAAGTGTTTACATCAGGCTATGTAAACACGGAAACCATTTTACATTTCTTTTATAAAATAACTAATGAATGAGGAACGAAAACTGTGTCTACGCACGCTCGTGTAAAATGGTTTTATGGCCAATCAGAGCGCGCGTACTATTTGAATTATTTTATAAAGTTCTTTTGCGCATACTACAAATTTTCTGAATGAAGCGTTTAGTTTAAAACACGAAAATCAAGGGCTTTCAAAACATGGCAGACGAACTGCATTGTCAGTATACAGTGTATATACATTGTACTTAAGTATAAAAAAAGTGCACGCTGTTCTGAGTGATGCCAACTAAATACCTTCATTGCTTCACACTTGGTTTTAAAATTTTCTTCCAAGTCTTTGATGTACTGTTCGTGTTTTAGGACTTCCTTCTTCCATTCCTCTGTAGCAATAGCATCTAGGTTTGACAAAGGAAAATGGGGAGGTGAGAAAAACGTATGGCTACCACCGTGATTTTGAGCGTTAGCCCTTCGTCAGAGCGATCGCTCTGACGAAGGGCTAACACTCGAAACGTCAGCTTTTTTATCCTTTACGGTGGCTAATTTACGTTTTCAACCCAGTTGTTAACACTACATTACCTGCATAGCTTCCATTAGCCGTGGATGCACACGTGCGCTGTATGTCAATAAGGCACATGTGCATCTTTAAAATTTAACTCTGATTTTCCACATTGAGTAAGGCATACTTAGAAAAACCCTTTTGAGTAGGATAGAAAAAGTATTTGAAGTGAAAGTTTTTAAATAAATGCAACTTGACATGTGGTTCTCATCATGGTGAATGCGCACAAAAAATTACTTAAATAGTAATAATAATAATAACAATATAATAATGATAATAATCATAAAAATTACAATTTCCTCCATTGCACTTGGTTTAAAAATCCTATTTTCCATGATTCACTTACAAAGTTGTTATTGAACAGTTCAATAAGCCAATCACATTCAAAGTTGTAGTTTAACTCAACAAAAAATGGTAAGATTTCAAAAATTTGTTGTAAATTTTTTGAAAATATTTGGTAAATTTTGAGCACAATTTTTGGAAATTTTTCAAAAATTGTATTTTTAAGATTTATTGGTAATAAGACTTTGTGGAGTCCAATACTATCTGTAATCATACTCGTGATAAACAAATTGGACCCCTGTGTGTGCGGTCATCCAATTTTGTCATAACTCCTTCAATGGATGGCTGGAGGGACAGTTGAGATAGAAAATGAGGAATAAATCAATAACAGAAATGAATATACCCAAAAAATATGTCTTAACAACAGTAGTACCTAACAGCTATGTGGATAGGATTTGCTCTGTTTAACTGTGAAGGCCTCGATCATTGTTTAAAATCTTGGTATATTTTTAGCCATATGTACAGTGGTTTATAGAGAATATGATTGGAAGATGACCTCAGATATTTGAAAGATCTACTTACGAGGCAAGGCAGGTGGGTGTAGTTCATGAGAGTGGACCACAACCAAGCGATCTCCATTGCGGTATATTTGATCTTTATACCCTGCAAACAGAAAACATAATGGAAAATAACGAGAAAAAAAATGCTACACATGACTTTGTCTTCAAAGTGCTAAATAATTCTGTTTCAAAGTTTGGGTCATCAATAATGGTTGTGTAAAAATATACAGCTCAGTAAATCAAAGATACTGGTACCCATTAGATGAAGGAAGAAGAGGATATCTCAATTAAAAGAGAACTTGGAAAAACTAAATTTGTTGGTTTTAATACTCCCACAATTATCATGACCACTTTCAAATTTCCAAAAGTAAGATTTCTAATGAAGAAAGCAGGGTGTATTAATTTTGTCTATTAAGGACACCAACCAAATTTCCTGACTCCCACTTATCTATAGATACATCATCTCTACAGAGACAATTTTGAGGAGGATTTAAAAATATTTTTTCATCGACGTATACTAATTGGATTTCATATGATTGCCTCTGATGTATAATTATTAGATACAAAAAAAATCTCACCAATTCTTAAAAAGATATACCTGCTCCAAAACTAATATCAACTCTCTGTCCATTGTCAAATAAAACCCTTCCCCAACCCTGTGCCTTAAGCAGTGAACCACACTTTGCTAGCAAAGACAAAGCCCATTAGCTGAGTTGTGGCATAGCTGGCTTCCAACCATGGAATTTAGCCTAAAAACATGCATGATGTCTGCCAAGAAAGATCCTTAGGAGAAAGGTGACAAAAGTGACCAAAACCATCCTCCCCACCTCAAAGCTTTGCACACACAGCTGCCATCGAACCATTAGTAATGGCAAGTCTCTGCTAGGGTGGGTCTGTCAATGTTCAGGTCTTGATGTTTAGCCCCTGATTTGTAAGCTTCTAATGTTTTTAAAATTTCCAAGAATGAGCATCAATTCCTTCCTCCATAGCACTCGTCAGACAGAATTTAACCCTTTAACTCACATGAGTGACCAGGACAGAATTTCTCCTTACAATATCAATACAATATCAACCAGATAAATGATTCGAATAAAGAAAAATATCAATTTTGGGATAATTAGTTGATCCCATACTAAATTCTCTGGACTAACATTATAAGAATTGTATGGTTGACAGTGAGGGGAATTACAAATTTGATCTGGGAGGTTTATGAGATTGTCAAGGGTGGGGTATTTTTGTCACGTTGCACTACATGTAATGTGGACATCATTTTATAACATCCTCTTCGGGTGATTACAAGCCGTAAATATGCTGCTAAAATCGTTAAGAGACAGAAATGACAGGCAAAATGATTCTCCATAAATACACTGACGAATACCAGTTTTGATTCAAGCGTGACTGTTTTCCGTAATAATCTAGGCTGGAGCGACGCGTGATAAGGGACACGCAAATTAACTGGACTTGCTAGATGACAAAATTTTTTCCCATAATTCTAGATCATCTTAATTTACCTTAAGAGCTGTTGATTTTTCGAGCTCGTTTTATGTGGTCTAGTCAAAATATAGCGTTAACAGCTGTTTTTAAACAGTATTGATCACACGCGTCCAAGGTTATGGAATAAACTGACGTTCGCTTACCAATACAGATGATACAATAGAGAATCTTTCGATCGAAACAGTAATTTTTTACCGTCCTATTTGCGCTATTCGAAAATAATAAGTCCAAAGAGGCGTTACCAATAAAAATCCTTTGAAAGCGAACCACCTCTAAGATCTCCCGATATTTCGGGTGAATACGATATTATTGTTCAGTGTACCTGAGCAACTGTATCTAATCAATTTAGTTAGGGAACTTACAGTTAAACGCTTTCTCGCTATGCTCGCTTCCATCTACTGCTATACACACAACTCTTGCTTCAGAACTCGCCATGTTGTTACCGTTGATAGTTGAACGACGAATGATATTCACTGAAATCAGGTGTATTTACTCTTTACGACTTACCAGCCAATGTGTTCACTCAAATGCATGACGCGTGACAGCGCGCGTGAGAACTTGCATGTCTTGGACGGGCATTTTATTTCAGGGAGAGGAGGGTTAGAGAATTGCTGTGTTCTAAATTTTTTATCCCTTCGGGTTTCTTAGATTGATTGTCTGCTATTTACTGTTTCGCTGACTGGAAATGCCTTGATTGGAATTATTGTGTACAAAACCCGAAGTCTGAGAAATCCCGTCAACTATTTTATTGCAAACATGGCCATATCTGATCTGCTGTTTCCTATTTTCCTGATTCCTCAGGTTTTAGTTCAGTTTAATACCAACACCATTTGATTTTAACTCAATTTTCACAGAGTAATAGAGGATGTATCTTTAATTGAAACCGCGGTGCAGACAAAAGCAAAACAATAGAGCCAATTTTATTTTGAAGAACGTGTTTTAATTTACAGTACAAATCTTTTACTGAACCACACATATTCCACTGAATATCTGATAAAAGTATACACATTTTAATCACATTTCCTTGACCAACACTTCTTGATATATATGTTAAGACCTCTTGTACGACAAAGGACTTGTTTAAAATTGTTAGCTGGGTTCATAATTGAATAGTATGTTTTCATTCTGTTTGGAGAATTCAGTCAGGCCTTAAATGACCAAACTAATTCAATACCAAACACTGTTGTTCTCGCACGATCGGTATACTTATTTACAAAAGTCAAAGAGTAAAATGAAATGGGCTGAGAACCTCCTCTATCTTTAAAATGCATCTGGAACTCACTCTAGGGGGGTACTGCGAGTCGCCTGTTCGCCCTATTCCTTTGGTACCACTATCACTGGTACGTGGGCATGGTGAACGACATAATCACTCACACTTCCTAATATGGTGCGGCGAACTGTTCCCACACCACGGCAGCCAATCACGATAAAAGTTGCCCCCTCCTTCTTGACAACCTTACAGATATTCTCTCCAGGAGAGCCAGCTTCTACAACAATCTTTGCTGACAACTAAAAACAGAGGAATGATTACAGTGGGGACTCATTGGAGAGAGGAGAAAATTTGTGAGAGAGGGAGTTTATTGGAGAGGGAGCTTATCAGATAGGGGGTTTTATTGGAGAGTAGGAGAATTTTCAGAGAGGGGGGGGGGCTTATCGTCAAAAAGGTGGACTTATGGGACAAAGAGAGAGATTTTCAGCAAGAGGAGCTTATTAGGGAGAGAATTTGTCAGAAAGGCCTGGGACTTATTAGAGAGAGGAGGGTTGTCAGACAGGGGAGCTTATTAGAGAAAGAGAGGGGGAAATTTGTTGGAGAGGGGTGGCATTTTTAGAGAGAGAGAGAGAGGAGATTGTCGGAGGAGGAGCCTTATTATTAAAGAATATTATTAAAGGAGGGAATGTCAGAGAGCGGGGCTTATTTGAAAATTTACAGTACTCTCAGTTGCAAATTGAGATTTATCTCTTTATGATCAGAAACAGAAGTAAAGGATTTTTACATTTCTGATTTTATTTTTTCTGAATAACACCAGTAGACAAAGTACCTTCAAGTCTTTGCATTTCTTCTCGTATTTCTTCTCCAGTTCTTTTATAATATTTTCGTGTTTCACAACTTCACGGCGCCATTCATCCGTGGCCATCATATCTTCAAAGAAAACAATTAAACACGTTTCTTTTTTCATATGAATCCATCAGAGGGCGTACAAAGCCTCCCTTAAAACCCTTTCTGGTCCAATCTTGATCCTGCTCAGAAATCCATACAACAAAATAGTGCCTCTACAATCGAAGGATTACCCTTATTTTTGCAAAGCAGCCTGCCAAGTACATAAATTTCAAATTTTATATGGAGGGATTACAATTTGGTCTTCAAACACTTCTCCTTCGACGCCTCCACCCGACGTATTTCACTCTAGGTTAAAAAAATATTACTTACGAGGCAAAGCCGGGGGCTGCAGTTCATGCGAGTGTACCACAAGCAGTCGATCGCCATCATGATAAACATTTGTCATAAACCCTGTTCAGAATAAACAAAGACGTTCAAAAAAGAAACTAAACAAACATCTAAGCTTTGCTAAAACAGAGGGATCTTGAGGGATAGGAAACAACAATAATACCATCTCGTTGACATAAGTACTCAGCACAAAATGCTTAACGACTGAGAATTCAGACCACAAAGTTTGGTTAATTAACACAACGTCTAAGCAAGATGCGTGATGAAAACATGTCGTGTGTCGATATAAATGCGGGTAAACAGATGCGATAGCAAGTCTTTCTTTCTTCTCCTCTCAGCTCGTTTTGGTCTCGGAGCTCTCTCCTTCTCCTCCCCCCTCCCACTCAGTATGACTTCTCACTTCTCCCTGGGTATTATAAAATATAAGAAAATTGTTGTATCGAATCAAGTCAATTGGCACGTTTCTTCCGATGTCACAAAATCTACAAGCAAGCTAATGTATTCATGTTCGTGCAGATTCTCACGCAAATGTGTCATTATCGCTCTTCGGGTAAAAACCGTGAATTAAATTTCAGAAGATTCTCTTCAGACAAGGTATTCATAAGGTAAAACTTGACTGCACTATTTTGGCCGTGACAAGTGCGCATCCTTTGACTTGAAAACAATTCAACTTATCGTAAACACGGCAAGCTACCACTCGACCCAAATATTTACAAACGCATTTTGAGCTCGTGGAACGTATTCAGTAACGATTTCATGTAGAACATAGATTTAAACGTGTTTATTAATACTCACAGTCAAATGCCTTTTCGCTGTGTTCGCTCGCATCTACAGCAATTGCCACAAGTCTTCCAGACATGATAAGCGGGAGCCCAGCAGTCTCGATGGTGTCAGAGAAATACGTCACGTCTAAGTTGTTTTGTTCCATTTATATCTTGACCTATTGTATAAAGTTAATTTAGTCACGCGATGTCCTGTGAATGATAATAATATCCTCCAATAGACTATGGCTATGATTTCACCTTCAACTTATTTCCCAGAAGACTCTAAGCAAAAAATCGATCGGTCAATGGTGAAACAACAGCGCGTCAGAAGGGAAAAACATGTGATGGAAATGTTTATTTCTATCAGGCAGTTCATGCCTTTTGCCTTTCACCCTCGCCTATTCAAGTTCGGTTTGGATCAGCCGTGGACTACAAAAAAGTATCCTATCTTGGGCCTTCATAGATAACTCTCTCGATTAAATTCCGCTCCATACCCTCGTATTTACTCTACACTTAGTGGGAAGTTTTTCTTTTTCCAATAAGGAAAGGGTTCTTATTTGCGACCACTCGGTTTTATGCAATACTTGGTCATAGCTCTTGGCAATGCTGACAAACAATTATACTTTGTACACTCTGCATATGTAAGACTGTCAAAACAAAGGAAACATATTAAACGATTTTAGTGGGTTTATTGTGCAACAAAGACAGTTAGCTTTCTTTCCCGGCTCTCAGAATAAACAAGTCATTCTTAATTATTGATTCTAATTAAAGCGAAATCTTTTTGTTTTATAATACATTCGTTATTGACCATGCTTGTTCGGTCAAGATGGCTGCATGGATAATAGCTTCGTCCTGTTTTCGTCTTTGTGGACCTCGACTTCGTCTCGGCCCACGAAAACGCGAATAAAGCTCTTGGCCACTATCTAGCCATCTTGATCGCACGAGTGGTTAATAACCTTCATCAAGAAACTATTCCACTACTATGCCATTACACCATATTAGGGCAACAGAACGCTCTGTAGAACAGGGGAATAATGCGGAAGGAAAGCGGAGCAACAAAATGGGTGCGCCGAGCGTTCTAGATTTCTAGATTTTTTTTAGTTCACACCTTGGGCTCGACTTTTTCAAAAACTTTTAAGTAAATCTGATTTTGTTGTATGTTTCGAAGAATATTTCTGTCAATTAATTGTTTCGCTTGTGTTGTTTCTTTCACGCACGCCTTTTGCAATCGACATGATATTCATTGAAGGTCGTAGGACTACGTAGGAAGTATTGCGCAAACTGAAAATTAAAATTTATTTTACTAGAAAATGAAATGATAGTGGAATAATAAATCCCTTATCGCCACTTGGATCATTGCTATGGTTATCTGGTGCCCAGACCTATTCGCCTGGAAATCTGTCAAGTTTCCAGAGGAGCTGGCGTGTGTGATTGGAATGACGCATTCGGAGAGTACCCGTCCTTCAAAAACTACTCTTTAGCAATGCACACTGCCATCATTTTTGTCCCTGTGGTTTTCATAGCTATACGTTTATTGCTTTAAAAATCAAATCCCAGAAGATTCCAGGAGAGCAATCAACTAACACAAGAGGAAAACGCTTGAAAAGAGAGCGAAATGTTCTTAAACTGTCCGTTACCATCGTGTTGGGATTTGCATTGTGTTGGCTTCCCCTAAGTAATGTGTGGTTCATGATGAATTTCAACTTAGACCGAACAATAACATCATCTTGAGGCTTCTATTACTTCTGGTCTGTTACCTTATTTCTAGCTATGTCGAACTGCGCGATCAACCCTTGGATCTGTGTATGTTTTCGTGGAAATTATCGTCAGGGTCTCAAGAATCTCCTCTGTCAGTTGCTCTTCTTTTGGTCCTGACGTTGATCAAGATGCACCGTAGTGTGACACCCGAGGCTCTAAGACGCTATTTCTCTTAAGGATTAATTTCTTAATTAGTATTTTCATTTCAGACTACGATCAAGTCAACAGGGTAATTAGAGAGCTTAAAGTGAAACATCTTATTGAAAAAACCATAATGAATTTTTTGATCTAGTGATTAATTAAAAGGAATGGTGTAAATTGTCCGCTTGAAGTCTTTTTAAGACATGGTAGATCAAAATAAGTACTAGTTCTGGTTAAAAACTGATTGTTTTATTGCTGAAAGTGGCATTTTGAAATTATCAGAAAGACGTTATAACTCCCTCTATACAATACTGAAATTTGCACACAAATTGTAAGCATTCTTATCTTCCTTTGTCAGCTCACTTACTACAAAAATATACATAGATAAACTGATCGATAAAGATGCTTTGATCAACGGTCAAACCGTTCTTTGAACTTTTGCGCAACGACTGTTTTTGTGAGCTGTATTAATCTGATCACATAATTTAAGGACTTTATTCAAACGTACCACATTGAAGACAAATATGATGTAATTTACTGGACAAAAAGAGATGAAATAAAATGTTTATCAGTAGCTGAGTCGAGTTTGTATCATTACCATAATCGTCCTGATCATTATTTGAAGTAGTATTCCCTTTCAAGATGACGATGCAGAATGGAAACACGATGGTAAATAATATAAAGACAGAAAAAAAAGCATCAATTTTCTTCTCGTCTATGGAACAGGAAATCTGTTTAAAAGCTTACTTGCAATTTTTTGATTCAATATTAACTGCCTCAAAGCCGTCGAGAACTCCAGTTGCCTTAAACTTTCTTTTCATTTCAGAAAGTCAATATCCGGTGAATATCAAGGTAAACAAACTTTTCAAAATCGGATCTGCTCTCTTAACTTTAGTATTGGTTGCAAATGATTTGCAAAGTAATAGGATATATGATCGCTACGATGTCAGTTAATGAGTTGATGTTCTCTAGTAAAAGGCTCAAACAAACAGAAATAATTTTGAGAGGAAAAATGGCCGCTCCGTGTGTACGGTGACATAACAAGGGGTACAAGTCCCAGCGAAAATTCGCGTCGTATGACACGGTAAGATTTTGTGAAAATCTTTCCTCCTGTGCCAGAGTTTTTTCCAAGTGATAATTTAACTCAGACTGGGTTTGTAAATGGACGCAAAATCTTTGAACTACAACCAGTGTGACATTGGTGATCTTTGTCACTTGTGCAAAGTTCTGTTTTGTGATTGGTTACTTGCCACAATAGCCATCACTAAAAAACAAAAACGGGTTTAATTCACATTGTATTCGTAGACCGTCATCAAAACAGCAGGTGCAGGCTGTGAACCAGACAGAGATTCAGCGAGTGAGAGAGTCGTGTTAATATACCAACAAAACGTTCACTTTGGCAATGGAACTTGAAAATTAACAACTACAGCTAAATTTGAATGACAGAGAAAAAGTCTCTCAATTCTCTGGATGTAAAGTAATATAAACTTAAACGCTTTTTAACCAAAAAGCTTTCTCACCGCTTACAAATGCTACTTTTAGCTCTGCAGTTAGAGGCCACGATCGTCTTCAGTAGATTTGCTCGATCTTAGTCGGGGTGGTGGCGAGTATAGATTGGTGAAGGCAAGACCAATCTACACCTTAAACGTAATTAAGTGGTTCCTTTCGGTCAGCCAGCTGATTTCTCACATCAGAGGAAAAAAGTGAGCTTATTTTTTCACTCTGGTCACATCGTGGGCAGCTAAGTTTGGGTTTGAACATTAGACTCAATAGCATATTTTCCCGTTACAGATCAGGATCCGTTTGACTAGTTTGCATTTGGTAGAGATGGCAGCCCCTTAATCCAAAGGTAAATCGGACAGAAGTCAATTGAATTTGTTTTCACCTAAAAGTCATCATGGTGACTGTTACAAGTGTCGAGAGACAATAATTCACGTATTTCCTAAACCTACGAAGACGTATTTCTCAAAACTGTTTTATCACTGATATCGAGTATATTGGTAATTCAACATTATAATACCAGTTATAGAATGTTCTTAACCATACCATTCCGGGTAAATATCGATATGAATGATAACGCAGTTTTTTAATCTCGGGAAGTTTTGGATACAGAGTGGGAATTAAGAGTAAAATTAATTAAGGTCTGGAGGTGCTTCATAAAGTTGAACAGTTTTAATTACCATGTAGATAACCAGGTCCGGATATGCAATGTTATTATATATGTAAATAATCAGCTGCGCGTGTGTTTTATGTCAATAGAGCGTAGGTAGGTAATCTTCAGAGTCACAGAACTGCTGGCTGATGAAGAAACTTATCTCTTCGTTTTGAGAATGTCGGCAAACATGGCGGTAATGACGACTGGAACACAGTCTATGTCGAGCTGCTTCAACCTCTCAGTAGAAAGAATTGGTTACACTTTTGCTTACTGTCTGCTATTTGCTGTTTCGCTGACTGGAAACGCCTTGATTGGAGTTATTGTGTACAAAACCCGAAGTCTGAGAAATCCTGTCAACTATTTTATTGCAAACATGGCCATATCTGATCTGCTGTTTCCTATTTTCCTGATCCCTCAGGTTTTAGTTCAGTTGAATACCAACACCTGGCTGATCGATGGTCCTCTTGGCCAAGCATTGTGTAAGCTGTCTGGTTATTTAGTTGATGTGTCAAGTGCTGTGTCCATTCAGAGTCTCGTTATAATAGCAGTAGATCGATTTAGAGCTGTGGTATATCCCCTTCGTTCCCCACTGATTAGTTCAAAGCGCTGTCGGTTCTTCATTCTCGCCACTTGGATCATTGCTATGGTTGCCTTCTGCCCATCCCTGTTTACTTGGAAAGTTGTGGAGCAGCCAGAGGGGTTGGCGTGCGTGAGACGGTGGAAAGCGGCAGTTGAAGAGTCTTCGCTCAAAGAAACCTTTCCTGTCGCGATGACTATTTTATATCTGTATTTTCCTTTGGTTTTTATTGGCATTCTGTACCTTATAATTGCTTTCAAAATGAAAGCCAATAAGATTATAGGTTTGCAATCGGTAAACGTTAGAGAACAACGTTTAAAGAGAGAAAGAAATGTTTTTAAGATGTGCATTGCAATTGTGTTGGTGTTCGCAGTATGTTGGGTGCCATTCAGCATCTGGTGGCTGTTGTTCCTCTATTCTTCAGACAGAACAATATCATCGTGTAGCTTTCAATTCTTTGGGGTCATAGCCGTATTTCTGAGGCGATCAAACTGTGCTGTCAATCCTTACATTTGTTTCATTTTCAGTGGAAACTATCGTCAAGGTCT